GGAAGTTTTTAATCCAGAAGTCAAAAAATAAAGCAACAAAAAGAAGAAGAAAAAATTAATCCGTTCACTTTAAGAGGAGAAATGAGAAACGTTGTGAGCACTTCAATCCACAAAGAATAGTTACAAAGAAAAAAAAAGCTTTCCACAGCAATCCAATTAGGATTAATTTCGCCACTCAATTCTTTTGCTTAAGGATCTAATTTGGCTTTAAAAAAATTTCTTTGGGCAGTCTTTCGCAAAATAGAAAAAATACCTCACCAGATGGACTCACTTTCTCTTTTCACTTCCTTCCTTCCGGAGCCGTCCCGACTTCATCAGCCTGGGGGCTGCCTGTTTACCTCCGGCTTGAAGGGCTTCCCTTGGGTTGATCAGGGACTTTGCAATGTCCCTGAGACCAACAAAGCTTCATCTTCCCGATCATCATCTCTATGGGATGGTTTAGGTCTCAATGGACCGTCCAGCGGCAAAAGTGTCAATGGCGGTCTCAGAGTATCGAGACTGCACGTTGTGACATTGCGACGTTGGCTCCTCCTTCCCCACCCCGCCCCCTTTTGTCTCCCGGCTTGGGCTCTCTGGAGGGGGAGGTTCTTTCAAAAGACCAGATTCTTTCCAGTGTGTCGGCGATGGCAAGAAGTAGCTACCAGCGAAGCTCTCAGCGAAGGCAAGAGTCCCACCCTCCGTGCTTGATTCAGCAAACCAGACGGCTGTCAAGAGAGAAGAGGGCAGCGCGTACCCGTGGGCTTGTGCAGCAGCCGAATCCTCACCACCCGTTCTTCGGTTCCTGCACAAGCCCACATGTCATGCGCCACTCTCTTCTCTCTTGACAGCTGCCTGGTTAAAAAGAAGGACGAGGCTCCACTGCTCCGGAGCCCATACGCAGGGGAAGGGGTCCCCCTCGCGTTCCTCATCTTCCCAGATGGGCTCTAGAGTCATCGCTAGCTGCGCAGAGCCTCGCCGCAGCTCCACGCTGTAGAAAACATAAGCGCGTGCACACACCTTGTAAATTACAGCCTTGGAGACTTTGTAACGGCTGGAAACAGTTGGGAGACGGGCTTTGGTCCTGTTCCATGCTGTAATTGTGTGGGGCGTGCGTGCACCTATGTTTTCCATGCCGTGGAGCCGCAGCTGAAAGACGAGGAACGGGAGGGTGACCAATGGGGCCTTGTCCTTCTGAAGAGGACCTGTGCCCGAAGAGAAAAATGCCACTGCCACGTACTTTTAATCTGATCAAGTGGTCCTTCTCCTCGGTGTGGGAGCCTCCAAGGCAGATGTGGAGGTTTGCAAATGGATCTCTCGGCAGTGCTCTTCCAAGGGTGTTGAGAGCTGGCAGGGAGGCAGAAGGACTTGTGGCCTCTTGAAAGGGGCACCCAGTCAGCTGTTCTTCACAAGGAGTGCCTGTGGTAGGGAACTCCCGCGATATAAAACCCTCACCTGCATTTGAGGAGCAGCATGAGATCGGTTGCACAGAGGATGCTGTCATCTAACCGGACTGAGAATCCAAGCCTTTTCGTCTTTGCACTCTCTCAACCCAGCTCCCTGCAGATTGTCCTCATCCCTAACTCTCAGGTGCAACTGGGCTATTTTCTCTTAGCTCCTTCCACTCCTGCTTCCCTTCCCTGTAATTTTCACATCCATCTTCTTCTGTCCTTTTCCTCATTTTACAAATACTTGGTTTGCTTTTAACAGTTTGCAATAATCCTGCCTCCCTATCTCCCCTCTGCCCACTTCCCCACCTTGCAACAAAACACATATGGCAAATGTTGTTTTGGTGGTTTCTAACCAGCTTTCTCTGCTCTTTTTCATCCTTTTTAAATTCCCCCCCCCTCTCCCCACATCATGCTGCAGAAGATACTAACCTGATATCAGGCTTTGATGTCCCTGGGGGCACTGAAAAAGTGACAGAAGATGAGTTTGACCCCATCCCTGTGTTAATATCCAAAAATTCACAAGGTAAGGAAGTAGACCTCAAGGGAGAGGCCTTGTGGTCGTGTGTTTGCATGCCATCTTCCTGCCCACCCAGAATTCTTCTGTTGCGTTTGTTGGTTTCATGTTCTTTCGAGCGTCTGGCAGGGCCAGGTTATTTTCAGACCTCAAACCAGTTTATGGGGCAAAAATAGAGGTGACCATTCCCAAGCCTTCTGTTGGGCTTCTTAGACATAGGGAAAAACTCTATGTTGAAACTCTAGTTTAAAGCTTTAAACAAATACCCATCTGTCTGTCTAACGCATCCCTGCTTGCAAGGCGATTAACGTTTCCAGGACCCTACATTTTGGTCCTTCCTTGAAATAACTTGTGGGGGTCTTCTTTCATTCTCAAAAGCTGCGTTGCCACCAAGTGGTTGAGAGTCCAGAGGTGTAGCCACCACTAGACCTTTGTGCTAAGTCTCTGCTGATCAGAATCCTGGCTGCTTAGCTTTGGGGGAGGCCCAGGGTGTGAATTCCCTTCCTAGGGCCTTCAAGTAGAACCTCCGAACTAGTCTTCACAGAGGGATCCACTGTGTGGGATCTTTTGTCCTAAAAGGCAAGAGTGAGGAGACTGTTTTCCTAGGTGACCTATTGGAGTTCCCACCCTTCTCACTCAAATTCTCAATTTTGGTTCTCTTCTTCCCTCTGAGAGGAATCAGTCCAACCCCTCAAATGACTTGGGGTAGGGCAGTGATGGCAAAACTTTTCAGCACCGAGTGCCCAAACCAAAATGCGGGTTCATGCACACGCTAGAGCACCAGAAACCTGAAGATCAGCTGGCTGGTGCATGCATGCCTGTTTTTCAGGCTGTTTTTCTGCTGTTTTCGGGCCAAAAACAGTCCGAAAAATGGGCCGAAAAACAGCCTGAAAATAGCCCGAAAAACAGCCTGGTTTTTAGCTGTTTTTCGGGCCATTTTCCGGCACTCTGGCACCCGCGAAGACCAGCGTGTGTGTGCCGAAAACCAGAAGAGCAGCTGGTGATGGTGCACATGCCACAGAGAGGGCTCTGCATGCCACCTCTGGCACGTGTGCCATATGTTCGCCATCACAGGAGTAGGGTAAAGCCAATGTTCATCCTGCCCTGCTTAATGAATGCCAGGGGTGATAATTGAGCCAGAAGAAGAACCAGTTAAATTGCTGAAGGGAGGAAGAAGGTGCAGCTACAGCCTCCGGTTCCTCCTCTTATTTCTGACATTGAGTTCTGTTGCTTCAGGTCACGGTGACTGACGGCTTGATGCTTGGAAATCCCTCTTTGGTCTCAAGGTCGGAGAACCTCTGCAAAGCATTCTCCCTCCAGGCAGCAATTCTAACGGAGCCAAAGCTTGGGTAGATGCCTCCTAGACCAGGGGTATCAAGCTCAATGTCCACGGGGTGCTTAGATCTGGCCTGCAGGGCCGCCCTGGAAACGGCGAAGGAAGGACCGACCCCCGGTGCCTCTGCCAGCGAAAACGGAGCAGCCTTCCTGAGCTCCCTTTCCGGTGGCAGAGGGCTGCAGAAGGCCGTCCGAGCCTAAAACGGAGACCGTGAGCCCATTTTTGCTGACAGAATGCTTGGGTCACCACAGGCGCCCCCGACACGAGTGATGCCACACGCCCTGATGCAGCCCTCAATGAAATCGAGTTTGAGCCCCCTGTCCCGGACTGAGGTCCTTGCAGTTTTATCTGACTCGTGTGTGTGTGTGTGTGTGTGTGTGTGTGTGTGTGTGTGTGTGTACGTCTTTCTCTTAATTTTTTTTTAAAACTAAAAGCTAACTTTTTTTTACACCTGTGTCTTTTGCCGGATACTAAATTGCTGTCTCTCACACTTTCAGGTGGGCATTCTAGAAACAACAGTGGAAGCGCTGAGTCCAGTCTTCCCAACTTAGCCAGGTCTCTCCTGCTAGTGGACCAGCTGATAGACCTGTAGCGGTCGCTGAGTAACAGGCGGCTTCTGTAACGTACCTTAAAACCCTTTTGTTCCTTTTTTTTGTTTCTTCTCTTCTTCTTCTCCTAACAGAGCTAATCTTTAGTTGTTGGATGGTTTTGTTTTTTGTTTGGCTTTTGTTTTGTTTGAAATAACGCCCAATGGAAAAGGACCCTGCTCTGAAATTGTACCCTCAGCTGGGGATGGATCTGTCCTTGTTTTCAGCCCAGTCTTGATGCAGCCTGCAAACATTTCCCATGCAGTTCTCTACTATCTTTAAGGGCGTGCTACCCTGTATTAATCACCTGGCTACAATTTATCCGTTAGTGCCACCAAAACTATAATTGTAAAAAAAAAAAAAAAAAAAGCAAACAAACATGTAATCTGTGTATGATCCTTGCTAGAAATACATGCGACTAACCTGCCTAAATGATGCTAACTAAGATTGTCTGTCAACCTTTGCTTTTCCTCCTTGATTTTAAAAAACAAACAAGACCTGGGAGAGGCTAACGGGCGGGGAAGGAGCCTTGTCCTTCTCCAGTTCAGGGGAATGTGTTGTTAGGATTGGGGCCTGGACAGAGTGCCTTCCCAAGGCAAAATTGAATTCAAGGCCTGATGCTTAGATATAAAGACATTTCAAGCCCTGAAGGAAGACAGTTTGCTCCATATACTCCTGTTTTTTGCAACCTGCTTAGGAATGGACTTGTGCTTAAAATAAACCAACCAAACAATAAAGATACTAAAGCTACGGAAATTATTCTACGCAAAATGGTTAATGTGAACCATACTCTTGTGTCAAACAGCATGGCTAAGACCTTTTCTGTTGGATGAACTACCCTTGGGGGGGGGGAAGCTATGGTGACGAGGGTTGTGAGTCTGTTTGAGGGATTGTATAAATTGTATGCACATGTCAGGTTTTTCTGGAAGGTAAGACTGATGTTTTGTTCTGTTTTCCTTTCTCGGTTTTTGCAATCCCTCTCTGTAGTTGCATAGCGTATTAACACAGTACGTATGAAGCCATCTTCCCCCTTCCTGATAGACAGACGGTACTTTTTTCAGTTAGAGCCTGCTGTCTTTCTAGAACTAGCATGAACTCCATGCGATCAGTTTGCTGTAAGTGCTTTCCGGCTTTGGTGGATCTGAACAGTTTTATTCTTTTGTTTTCATGTCAATATGCTTGGTTTCATCAAACTGCTGGCTAGAGTAAACTTGTTTTCCATTGGCTTCTGGTCTCCAAGTCCAACATTAATGGTCCCCCTTCCAAGATGTTTTTCCAAGAAGGAGAACGGCTCTTAACTCCGTAGTGGAAATAATCATTAGCTTCACGCTAACTTTGTGTACGTGCAAATGTATTGTAGTGGTTCAAACAGTGCAGTTTCCCCCACAGTGTGAGTGTGCGAATGGCTCAATTTCTAGGTGTATCAGCCTCTCCTACAGGTTGGAAAGACCTTCTGATGTAATAATCTTGAGTATTTTTTCTCCAGCTTTCCCACGTACAAATCTCTGCCTTCCAGAAGTTAGCTCAACAAATTCTGTAAATAGAATTTCACTGTCATGTCAATCCTCTCTTGAGTCTTTCTAAAGTCTACTTGCTGACGCCCTTCATTATAAAACAGTTACTTGCTTCTGTGTGATGTGTGTGTGTGTGTGTGTGTCCATAGGTTGTTTTTGCTGCACTTTCCTGATTTTCCCCAACAGAAACTTATATGAAAACGATCTTAGCAAAATTGTCAATAGTTCTTTCCATTTTGGGGCAGGCTCTTTGATTCTTTGTCTTGACTCTTGATTCCTGAAGAGTTGGGTCACACGGACAAAGCTTTAGATAGAACGTTATTGTATAGTCAGATGATACTGAAAATATATGGAAAAAAGAATGGATTTTTTTAAACAAATTAACCACCTGCTGTATATTAGAAACCAAAAAAAACACCCCACCCCTCCTGTGAATTAAAGTACTTTTAAAAAAGAACATTTTAACATTTTAAGTTTAATGAACTTGCTGAAGAGTTTTGGAAGTCGTTGCGTGAGGATAGTGATGTGAACTAACCAATGTGAATGGGGGAGGGTCTTTCCTTACCCACACAATTAGCCAATTAGCTGGGTAAATGGGAAATGATATCGTGAATTAAAACTTACAGGCACCATGGAAATACTTCAGTAATAAACCATGATAAGATTGACTTGGGAATGATAGATTATTGGCTCATTGCTAGAATCTGTAAAAGGCCGGTTTCCTTTTTCGAAGGGGGATCCAACTCGGAGGGGCTGAGCCCCTTGGTGGTGGTCTCGCTCTGTCTTAATGTTTCTATTGATGGATCTAGATCTAAGGCACCAATGCCTTATGGCTGTCTTTGTCCAAAATGGGCTGACAATTTTGGCCACGTTTTAACATCCTCTCTTACTATGCCTTCTGAAAGTAGCATTTATGGAATCTCCCTCTCCTGCCCAAAAGAAATTCGCTTATAGCCTCTGAGCAGAAAAACAAAAGGAATACATGTTATTTAAGAACATCTAAATGGTTATTAAAAGCTGAACTTTTAACTTACATCTTCCCTGTAGGTGTCCAGGGGGTGTCCATGGGTCATAGATGTGCAATCGCAGCCTCACCTAAAACAGGGGCCTCCAAATTTAGCAGCTTTAAGACTTGTGGACTTCAACTCCCAGAGTTCCAGTCCCTGGAATTCCTTCGCATTGCATCCTGGGAAATATAGTCTTATAATGTTTGGCCTTGTTATCGATGTTCCCCATTCCTAGGGGAGTGGGTCAAGCAATGGCCATTCCGATCTTTACCGTTGCATGAGTTAAGGATGGGTTTCATTTTTCTGCCCCTCCTGAAAAATTGAGATTCATGACCCAGATTTCTCCTGACCCCCAATTCCAGGGGGGAGATGTGATTCACCGCAAGGCTTCCTGTACGAGAATGCTCTCATCCGCTTTCGTATGCAGTAGACCACTGATCCATGGCAAAAGTGGCCAAGTTTGGGCACCCTTGAGATAGATAATCACTCTGCACTGTGCTGGACATTGCCCAAGTGTCTCACAAGAAACGGTTCCCTGTTCTGCTGTCTGGATCGGGCCTGGTTCCCTTATCCACAGAACACCAGGGATGAGCCAAGAGGACTAAGCATGTTCTACTACCTCAGCCTACAACCCTCAGCGTCCAGGCTGTCCTGCATACTTAATCCCATTCTAATTAGAGATGAAAAATGGCAGGGCTGGGATTAAGTTGTGACTAAGGAGGATGGAGGAAAAATGAAATTAACACCTTTCTAACCGAGACGTTTGTGTGTTGGTAAGCAGAGGAGCACACACCTGCATATGTGTGTGGTTATATTTTTTTACACCTTTTTCAAAGCCAAGGATCTAGAGACGATGTGCTATATTAATCAAGGAGTCTTTGGTGTCGTCTAAGCTTGGCTGTTTTTCCTGCAGATGTTTCATTCCTCCGCTAGGCAACATCATCAGTTTACTAGTTGGGTCATGAAACATCTGCAGGCAAACCCCCAAAGCTCAGAGACCACCAAGGACTCCATAGTTCAACCTTAAGCTACCAATATTCTTTTCTACTGTTGCTATACGAATCCTGGCTTGGTCCTACAGCATTCCAATTTCTAAGACAACTTTCACATTGCCTATTCTATTCGGAGTACCAATGGCATATGTCACACGGAAAGATGAGCTGGTGCATTATATTTATTTGTTTCTGGAGGGCCAAACTCTTTTGGGTTGAAAGACTTTGCAGCTTTACCTGCAGATGCCAAAGAGCTTTGAATGCCAACTCCCTAGGAGGGTAGAGGCCCTGCCCTGCCCTGAGCATCACTTTGCCATGAAGGATAGATATGGAGGCCTTCTGAGTCCTCTGGGCATTGCTGGAAGTTGGGACATACCGTACTTTGTAAGAATATAAGGCACACCTTTTTCCCTCAAAAAAGAGGTTGAAAATCTGGGCGTGTCTTATACCTGCCCCCCTTTGCAAAAATGACAGTGGAAAGCCTTTAGGAGGCTTCCAGAGTGCTGCTGGGGGCTGGGGAGGGCAGAAATGAGTGAAAACAGGCCATTTCTGTCGTCCCCCCCCCCAGTCCCCAGGAGCACTCTACAAGCCTCCCAAAGCCTATTCATGCCCTGGTTTTTGTTTTTGTTTTTTGTGTGCAAAAAATGAGCTTGTTTTTGGGAAAAAACTGCCCATTTTTTGCTAATTTTTGCTCCCCCCTCCCCCAGCCTCCAGGAGCACTTTACAGGCCTCACAAAAAATCAGGCATGCAGAGGGTTTGGGAGGCCTGCGGAATGCAAACACCTTTTAAATTTACCTCTTCAAAATCTTGGTGCGTCTTATACTCCGAAAAATATGGTAGTTGCAGAAGGGTGGCTGAGAATTCAGGAGCAGCTTAGTCCTCCTCAGCTCAGACTATTTTGATCACAGTCAGAACCGAGTTTAGAAGTCGTCTCAGGTACTTGCACACACTACCCACACACCCCAGACAAGAAAAGTATATTCTCATAAAACATACTTTTCAACTTCTTATTTGTATCGCTGTCATTAAGACATTCCTGATGTTCTAGCTAAGAATCTGCTGGAAACATTTGCCAGAATATCTCAATTTGATTTTCACCCTATCCGGTATTTAAACGTGATTGAGTGCTGTCAATCAGAGAGTTGAGTTTCATTATTTTTTTGTCTACCTTTGAAAGAACTCCAGAAAAGCTGAGCTTCTGGAAGCTGAGAGCAGGATGACCTGGGAAACATCAGGCCACGAAATCCACTGTCTGGAACTCCAGATGCAAATTTGGATGAAGAGAAGAGTGGCCCAGATCTTCTGCCAAAGGGGTGGGTGGGTGGCAGGGAAATGTTTTGGAAACAGACATAAGAAGTCCCATCTCGTAAAAGAATTCCCAGAGAAGAATCGCAGGCAAGAAGACTTGGTCAAGGCAACGGAACATAGCAAGGGTCTGGACTGTGCAAGAGATGATTTTGGAAGCGATTGGCACTACGGATAAAAGTTTATTGGCCAGCTTGAATTCGTTGCCAGGTTGTCTTCAGATAATACTAGAAAAGAGCCCCAGAAGACAGTCACTCTGGCAAATTCTACCAATGTCTCATTTCAACTGTGACCAAACAGATGCTCCAAGTTGTTTTCCATGATGCTCAGACTAAATAAATAAATAAAACAAAATCCAACTTTTAAACATTTGTGTGGCTTAAAGAAAACAGGGAGAGGGGAAACATCGGCTTCTACCATGCTTTTGTTGTACAGCAGAAGTATCCAACTTTGGCAACCTCAAGACTTGGGGACTTCAACTCCCAGAATTCTCTCGCTGACTGGGGAACTCTGGGAGTTGAAGTCCACAAGTCTAAAGTTGCCAAGGTTGGAGATCCCTGTTGCAGAGCAAGGTAGTCTAGGACTTCCCCTTCCACCAGCTATGGCTGCCAAAAATCAATGGCAGAGTTGACTGTTGTGTTGAGTGAAGGCCCCCCCCCCAATAAAATTAACCTGGTTGAAACAACAAAGTCCTTTAAGCTCTCCAACAATTGGGAGGGAAACCCCAAATTCTGGCGTGCTTATTGGTTGATATGGCACCGATCCCCTCACATGATTAGCCCCTCACTTCCCCCTGATTATAACTATGGCCTTGAGCACAAAAATATTGGCCCTTCCTGCTGTAGAGATATTGGGGGGCATGTTTGCACACACCACCAGGAACTCTTGTGGTTAGCACAAGAACTTGGTTGCAGGAGTATTTGTGTGTTAAACTGGTGCAAAAAATCCTATATTTAAGCTTATTCTAGGACCTTAGTTCTAGCTTGCAGAATTCCCAACAGCACAAATTTGATTTTAAGAATTTATGTTCTTTCAGAAATTTTTTTTAAAAGGCATGGAGTAGTAGGGATTCATCTCGAAGGTTAAAATAAAGGTGATCTTATATAACTGTTCGACTCTGGAATAGGAAGAAATTCTTGGCCGTTTTCATTTCTGATTTTTCTCGGTGGGATCTGCAGAGCCAATAAGCAAATTAAAAATGAAGATGGCTGAGAACTACAAATCAACCATCAAGAATTTTTAAGCATCTTCCTCTTCACCTGGCATGGCTTTTCTTTTATCATGTAACTTAGGCATTAATGCTCTCAATAAAATGCCGATGCTTGTCCTACGAGTCCCATCTTTGCTCACCAGAAACAGCTTCATATCCTAACAGTCGATGGCCTCGCCTAAGAAGTGTACTATTGAAGCTCTAACACATTTATATTAAACTGAACTAGAACTCCTGTGTTGGTTAAATTTATCAAGATGCCTTTCTTCACAGTGGAGGCTTTAGAAAAGGTGCGGAGACTTTGTTTCAAAAAGTTTTTTAAGAGACTATATGTTAGTAAGCAATGCCAGATGGAGTATCTCATATAGCCATTTAATATATCTCTGGATGTTGATCAGAGTTTATTTCCAAGGAGGATTTTTTTTGACAGTTAAACCTTTATTTTAAAATAATTACAATGTTACGAGAGAGTTACAATCAATAGAAATAACTGCAATATGATCACACATTTGCCTTCATTTGATTTAATATCAGTGACTAACTACAGATGTGTTCAGCTAAATAAAAAGCAAACTGAGTCACATGCAGAAGCTTCTGTGGACCAGGTTAACATCTCCAGAAGGGTCCCAATGCCGGTGTTAGCTCAGCTGGTCCACCAGAAATTGGCCAATGCCGTTGTGTGAACCATGACCAGCTGCTTTCCCCGGGTTTTAGCAGAAACTCTTCTTTGCCCTCCTTCCGAATTTGAGCGGTAGCCCACATCATTGTGCCCCACCGTTTCTGCGGATAGTGGCGAAGGCCTTAGCCTTGTTTTGGGCTCTCTGGAGTTTAGTTTTTACTTGCCTTTTTTCCTGCCTTCCCGCTAACCTTGTAACCTGCTCCTCTTTCTCGGAAGGTAAGCTTTCTTGTGTTCTCATAACCATGTGTGTGATTCATCCGGTCTCTCTCCCATGTGTGTAGCAAGGTCATTTTTTTCCTGCTTGTTTTGGGTAGCCTGGTTGATAGGCACCCAGGATGGGCAGCTCTGCAGGCTTTGGGTTGGACTGAACCAGCTCTGCCGGACCTGGCCTGGTTCCTTCTCACCAGCAAACTAGGGTTGCAATAGACTTGCTGTCCTCCTTAGTTAAGAAGTGGGTTTTTTTTTTCCCTTTGAGAAAGCTGACAAGCCCAAAGAGGCAAGTTGTTGAATCCCATTCATTCACAGAGCGAGATTAGTAGCACCTTTGAATGGGTAGATTTGGTCCTTCAAGAACTCTTGGGAGCCGCAGGCATTCCAGGTGGCCTTTCTTGAAGGTGGCTAAAGCTTTCTCGTTTCTAATATTGATGAGATTTAAAGCATTTCCCTGGCCCAAGGGAAGCAGGATTTGATTAGAGCAAGCTAGTGCACATTCTATTTTCGAACCTGCTCTTTATTTTCCCACATATTTTTTCCTCCAAGTCTGGTCCTGGGGAGGTGAAAACCGTAGGCCATAAGGTCAAAAGACAGAAAAGCAAGGGGAAGACGGCAGGAATGCAGCCCATGGATGCTTCGCCTGAGTCCTCTGAGAAGAAATGGACTTCCTCATTTCCCCCCTCTGGGATCATGAGATCTAGAACCTTGGCTTCCTTGAAAACACCACTCGCCCTCTGTTAGTGATGTCTGGGACAACCATTTCCTCCTCCTCCTCCTCCTCCTCTTCATCCTCCCAAGTCTTGAGTGAGGCCCGTGTGTCTGTTTTATTAACACCTTCCATCTCTCTCTGACCCACATTTTGTGGATCCTTGAAATGTGAAGTAATGCCGAGTTGGTGTCCGTTGGTTGTAACTAGCTGGTTTCACTTTTGTATAATTTTTATTTTATTTTAAACGTATTTCTCCCTCCATCACCCTCCCCTCCCCAACATGTGTGCTGCTGATTTTTAAAATCCCACGTCATTTACACCTCTGTGGTTTAATTTTAGCCTGCAGATCTCAAGATTAGCAAGTAATTCTCTCATTTTACACTTTGCAGGACTGCAGGGGAAGCCAGCTGCCTATTTCATGGTCAGTCCTGAGCAAGAGCGAAGGCCGGGGGCCGCCGGTTCCTTGCTATCGAATAAGCCCCAGCCGAGCCAACTCGTAGGAGAAGCCGATTTCCTCGTGAGGGATGGTCTCTCCAGCAACAGCTCCTTCCACAGCAGCGAAGGAGAAGGGACCGACCACGAGGGAGACATCCTGGACTGCAGTGGATCCAGACCTCTGCTGATGGACTCGGATGAGGAAGAGGAGGCTTGTAAAATGAACCCCCGTCTGCAGGAGAGGGGAGGAGGTTCTCCCAAGGACCTGAACCTCCAACCGGCCCAGAATGCGCCAGGGCCGGTTCTCTTCGATGCTTTCCCACAACGAGCTGCGGGAAGGTCCGAAGAAGACACCGATGTGTTTGCCACGGCCCCTTTCCGAGGCTCTAAAAGCTACTGTGATGACTTGGACATTTTCACGAATGCCCCCTTTCTCTCCAAAAGCCAGGGGTTCTCTCAGCAGCTGGACGAAGGCGACGTGTTCCTTAAAGCTCCATTCACCAAGAAGAAAAGCCAGGAGGAGCTGGCGGCACAACCTCCTGCCACTGGACCATTCCTGGGCGCATCTGGAGTTGCTCAATACGCATGTGCCCCTACCTTCCAGAACCTAGATGTGGGAACCCATGGCTCCCTCCTTCCCCAGGGTCAGTATTCGGGAGCCTCATCGGTTAAGCCCTCCAGAGCAAGTGATGGCCCAGAGGCCCACCCTCCCAAAGGCACTTCTGGAGAACTCGGCCCTGTTGCCAACGACACACTCCAAAGACACGTGGGCCTCCAGGAAGGCTTCTTGGGATCACAGACCAGCCCACCTTTCCACCCACAGTCCTTAGCAAAATACTCCCGACACTACAGCCCAGAAGGCAGGCCACGAGCCAGTGCCGAACCCATAGCGGCTTACAAAGTCGTATCTCAGACTAACAGGCAGGTGATCGCTGGGTCGGTTTCTATCGCCTCTCTTTCCTCCAGGACTAAAGAACTTCCCACTACTGACCCATTTGCTTCTGCCCCCTTTCCTTCCAAACTGGGGAAGCAGAAGCCCTAAATGGTTTCTCTGGTGGCTTCCTTCCAGCATGTGGCTTCTGATCGGACTGGTATCTTCTTCTTAAGAACGTGCAAACGGACTCCATGAAATGGAACACACCCTCTCTACTTCAACCATCATGCTCAACACTCTTGCTGTGGTGGGACCTTCCTGGCTCCTAGGAAGACTTCTCCTCAGAGCCCCATGGAGGCTTTTGGGTTGGTTCTGCAGCCACTATCAGCTGACCAACACATTTTCCAGTCTAAAACTGTTTGGGTAAATATTTATCCTTAAGCCAGTAATCCCGCAGGCGATCTAGTAGATAGGACCTGTTCTACCTTGATTGAAGGTTCACGGAACATCTCCACATCGTGTCAAATGCGTCTGTACCAGGAAAAGAAACGATAACCAAATGGAAGATTATTTATTTTGTTTTCTTTGGCCTACCAAGAAGCCGAGAGGACTCTACTTCTTCCTACTATTTCTGGAGTAAATTCTCCATTGGAAACCGGAGTCATCTTCTTCAATGTGCATTTTCAGTTCTTTTTATCTGAATTGAATACCTATCCTGAGCCATGTTCTAGGCGAACGTTGGCTGGGATTTAGTCTTACCCGACAGTATAACAGACAGTTGTGCAGGCTACAGACCGTTTCTGTTATTTGCTGTTCTTTGCATAAGCCTGGGAAGGCTGGTAGTTTAAAAGAGGTTTTGCTGGCTTTTTAAAGGGGAGTTTTTGTAACTTTTGCAAAGCTTTCCCATCATTTGCTCTCTTCCCCCCCCCCTTTTTTTTTTGTGCAAAACCAGTTTTTTCCTTCCTATGAGAGATCATCCCAAAAATTGTTAAGGGAAAATTCCTACGTCCTTGGCTTTGAACTCCACTTTCTCCAGGGCTGAATTTTCTAGCTTTATACTTCCAAAGCCACCTGTTTTTCCCCTCCTTTTGCCACCGAACCCCTGAATTTGCTGTCCCCTCTGGATCTGAAAAAGTGCTTTACCCAGCAGTCACGGCTTCCAACGCTGCGGAACGAAAGCAAGCAGCCTTTCCCTGTGTTTAACCCTTGAGGAATGATGCACTTTTTCTGAGCCTTTGCAAACCACGAGATAAGCCTTGTTCCACTTTCTCTGCCTCCTCTCCTCTGCCCCCCATTCGTGGATAGGGTAGGAAAGGAAAATCAGACATCCCTCTTCCCTGTGTTCGTTCATGTGTAACTCTGCCCCCCAAATTGGTGCACTTGGTCTGAGCGTGCCCCTTCGCACTCCTGAATGTGATAATTCAGACCTTTCTATCGTTCTATGGGTTTGTTCTGTCCTGGCGGAAGGGCAGGGGAGTTGCGAGTAAGAGGGCACATTGGGGGTGGGTCCTCTTTGATACTAGCTTCTCTCAAATGTATACCCTCCACCTGAGCTAGATTTCAAATTTCATAATCTCCACCCTACCTGGCTCACCCCAATTAGGTTGCACCTGTTCGATACACATGATTGAGCTCATTTGCAACTTTGGGTGCAGTTACATCTCTTGGATGTTCAGAGTCGATCCTTGTTTTTTGTTTGGCACTGGACAGATGACCAATGAAATGCTTCCCCCCTGAGTGATTTTTTTAAGGTGTTCAATCAGCTAACTATGCAGGATGGATCTCTCCCTTCTGCAAAATGTCTCTAACAGCATTTGAAAGTGGAAATCTGGTTCTCTAAAAAAGACTATATCGACTGTTTGAATCCTTGCTAGGACAATCTCCGCGTCCAGCCAGAAGAACCGAGAATGGGATCTGTTCTCGAACGGACTCATGCTGGGGAAATTCATTTGCTGGCCACAGGTTGACTTTCGGCTATAAAGACTGCTGCCATGTGCCTTTTCTGGGGAAAAAAACATACATTGTTGCGTATTTGTTGAACTGACACAGCAAGATACTCACATTTTTACCTCTTGGAAATTTATCAAAGATCCCGTTTGTATTTTTCTTGAGATTTGAACCTATTCGCAGTGGGGGGGGGGNTTAAGATAACAAGTCCCCAGACATTCATATGGCCCCATCCTGACCTTGTTTAAAACCGGGCTCTTCCCCAGGCCTTGGACTAGAGTGGGCTGTTGGTTTTGCGAAATTATTTTATTTTTCCCAGACATTTCTCTTTGTGTTGTATTTTAAAAATCTTTTAATAGTGTATGCTTTGCAGAGTTGCAATTGTGTTCGAGAGCTATACATATAATAATAAATGTTGCCGTCCTTACATGTTCACCCTTATTACTCAAGTACCAAATATTTCAGTTAAATTGCTTGTGTTCAGCAAAAAGCTAACCCGAAGATCATCCGAGAGAATTCTTTAAGCAGTATTCACTTTCTGGTACTTCTGTCAATATTCCTACTGGAATATTTCCAGGATTTTAAAATGCACTAGTGGGGCAAACAGGATGTTCATTATAAACCCCCCTTTTCATTGCAATGAAGTTACTGCTTTCTTGAAGGAGTATTAATCATGTTGAGCTTTGTGTGTTCATTCTTCAACTCTTGACAGCCGAGATGATACATTGGGGGTTAGCGGGCACTAAAAGTAGAGGTAAAAAATGAGGTCTGCCAAGTTAATCCATGAATCCATTGCAGAAGTAAATGGGTTTGAAAAGATCCTGTGTATAAAGGAGTTAACAATTTTTGCATTCATTTCACGCATTGGAGAGAAATACCCCCTCTGGGATTCGGCCCCTGCCGTATTTCAGTTATTTTTCGGTGGGGGGGGGAAGGGGGAGTTTGAACAAAGATGGAGTTTTACTGTCCCTGAATAGCCAAGCCGATTAGCAGAAAGATGGTTCTTTATGTTGCTGTAAAAGGATTGGAATGAAGTGTCAAAGGTGTTTTTCCCAAAAGGCAGTTGGACTTAGTTTTTTTTCTTGAAAACATTTCGCTTCTCATCCAGGAAGCTTCTTCAGTACTGAAGTAATGAAGGAAAACAGCAAAAAGAACCTTGAAAGTCACTGTTTCTTAGTTACAGAATTCAGTGCATGAACTTTACATATTTCTCATGTGGGTAACTAGTAGGAGCCTTTTCATCTGTTTCAGTAACAGTTCCAGAGCCAGAGTGAGACCAGGAGGGGGAGAGTGCATAAACTGAGCCACTGCAAACTCTCCAGGCCATCTACCTCTGATTGGCACTGAGAGAATGCAGTAAACAGTGCAAACATAACACATTTATGCCAGCTGGTTAAGTTTGTGTGACTGTATTTTGCCAGATTCTTTTCTCATAAGGGTCACGTGGCTGAGAGATGGCTCTGGAGTACACAGAGCATCCACAGCTTTGCTCAAGATGTCTTAGGGAAAATGTTGCTAATGCAAAGAGAAGTGGAGCTGCAGCAGTGCCACGTGGAAAGTACAGAGATGGGTATGGGGGGAAAAAGAGGAGAGAGGTCCATGTGTTGGCTGAGAATCTGAGCGTTATTTTAAGATATTAATGCAAACATTGGAGCATTCTGTTGTGGTCTGTTGGCGGCTTGCAGAGGTCGGTTGGGGAGGAGCATAGGCCAGTCCTGTAATCTGGGGAAGGCTTGGGCCAAGGCTTTGCGGTGGAGGCAGAGAGGGGGCCAGGTCCATCTGGGAGTTATGTGCTACTTCCAGAGCCTCCAGAGTCGGACATCAGCGAGGCAGAGGAACAGGGGGAGCCTGTTCCCAGTGCGCACATGTGCAGAGCTGCCAGAAGGCAAGAACAGTTGACTTCTGTCGGACTCTTTAAAAACTATTTGTGACTCATTGCGGGTTGTGAATGAACGTAATTCACAATTGTTGAAATAAAAAAGAGGGTTTTTGGGACTAAGCGTCTGCTTTTTACTGTCTCAGGAAGCCTCAGTCAGAACACATTTGCTGCCTGTAAGCTATTTTCTCCATTGCAGACCTGCAGCTCTGGGTCTCAATGCTTCTGCCTTAATATTCCTCAGGCCAACAGTGCAGGAGGATGGGGGAGACGTCATCTTTAAGGGCTTTGAAGACGGGATTGTGCAGTTGAAGCTGCAGGGTTCGTGCACCAGCTGCCCCAGTTCCATCGTCACTTTAAAGAGTGGGATACAAAACATGCTGCAATTCTATATCCCAGAGGTGGAAGGCGTGGAACAGGTAAGCCCCTTTGGGAAGGCACCAGCTGTGCCCCACCTGCCTTGTTTATGTTCCCCCAAATGATGGGCAAAAAATTATAATAGGTATTGACATCTTACCTGTTCAAAAGGATCGGGGTTGCTGCCAAGCATGTTTAGGGTTTCCTTCTGGATGTTTGACCTGCTCGGAATTTCTCAGAATTTTCTGAGCAAATTTGGAGGCTGCCTGCACTATCAGGCAAGATGAGAGGGATGCTGGGGTTATTTTAAAAGATGTCCTCCTTCCCGGTCTTNAGAATAGAATAGAATATATAATAGAACAGAATAGAATAGAATATATAATAAATATAATAGAACATAGAATAGAATATATAATAGAACATAGAATAGGATGGAATAGAATAATACAAAATCGAATGGAATACAATATAGAATAGAATAGAATAATATAAAATAGAATAGAATATAGAATAGAATAACAGAGTTGGAAGGGACCTTGGAGGTCTTCTAGTCCAACCCCCTGATGAGGCAAGAAACCCTACACTTCAGACAAAGGGTTATCCAACATCTTTTTAAAAGCTTCCAGTGTTGGAGCATTCACAACTTCTGGTGTTGTTTCATTTTGTTTTTCCTAGACAGTCTTGCTGATATCTACTGTAGATTGCCTGGACAGTAATGCAAACATGTCATGCAGTATTTCTCAACCTCAATGAATTTAAAATGTGTGGATTCAGCTCCCAGAATTCCCCAGCCTCATCTTGTCTATACATGACCATTTTGCCCCTTTAGCTGTTCTTGCAAAGCAGAAAGCTGGGTTCCAAAATGTAGTGCTACGCTGAGGGTAAATCATAAGTGTACCCCCAAAATGCCATATTTTTATCCAAAAGATTACTCCTTTAGATTACTTTCAACCTGTTTTTGCAACTTTACATGCAAACAAATACAACCTGCAGTTTGTTCGACATTGTTTTCATTCAGAGAAAGATTGGAAAGGAGAGCAGTAATTGCTAGAATGTTTATTTTTCCCCAGCCATCAATTCTTTAATAGGTCCCCAGATTTCCTCACCTCCCAATGATGTCATTTATTGAAATATTTATTTTTCCTTCTGAAGGGGAATAGTAATAAGGATAGAAACCTGTTGGTTTTAGTAGAAACATTTGTTTTCTGTAACACACATATATTATGCCTTATATTTGTAACGTATATGCTTGCGTGCTGTAAGTGCCTTTTGTTTCCTGCAACTGACTTCCTGCTGTGCTATTATTGGGGTCTGTAAAATATCTGGCAAAAGTTAAAGCATGTGATCCTTGCCATTTGAACTCTTACCAATCTCCTGCAATCTATGGGTATAGAACTGTGATGGCGAACCAATGGCATGCATGCCCAAAGTGGCACACGAAGACGTGTCACACACAGCCTTGCCTGTTTGTCTTCTGGGTTTCTCGTGCGCATGCACGGACAATGATCAGTGCCAAAAACCAGTGTGCGCATGCGCACTGGCCAGCTGATTGTCGGGTTCACATGCACGCCAGAACCCAGAAGTCCGACTTTTCCAGAGTGTGATCCCTTTGCGCGCATGACAGTGCTGAAAACTCTGAGAAGCTAAGTGGTCAATTGAGAAAGATAATGAGATAGCTGAAGGGGATAATTAAGATCCTCTATCCTGTCCAGAGGATAAACTAATTAAGAGACCAGGATTAGGGTTTTATAACATTTCTAACAGTATAAAAAGGGGGCATTCCCTCTCTTGTGTGCTGCATATATCCCTGCATATCCTTGGAGTATGTTGGGAACAACTGACCATCATGTCTTTAAACTTTGATCAAAGATTAAATGCTGATTGTTATTCAAGCCTTCATTAAAGTCTCATTTTTGGCTCATTGTGATTTGGATATATTCTCTTCTATGGGTCCGAACTATTCTCAAATCATACACTTCCTTCCAGTCAAAACTCTGAATCTGTAGGCTTTCAGCCTTTAATGAGTAATCCTCAGTCATTCCTGTTTGGGTTGAAGTATGGGGAATGCAATTAAACTGTCTTAAGAATCAAACTTTGGTGTTCTTAGCTGTATTTTTTTTTCTCCATTCAGCTTTTGTCACTTGGGATTAAGGAGTACAAATGTATCAATTAAACAACAATACCGTTTTGTTACCCCACACAAAGCCTTCCTGTTTCCTGCAGTGCCACAGATGTCAGGTGGGTGTTTTGCTTGTGCATTTTCAGTTTTGTGGGATGAAACTGCTGCTTCTTTTCTAAAACATATTCATGATAAAAACATTGAATGGTTTATGTTTCTGTTCCACATGCCTAATCTCTCACTAAATTAGAAGAATGACATTTTTGCATGATGGGCAAATGTTTTTGCTTCCTTGTGGGCAGAGAGCAGAAAGAGTCAGGGAAGCTCACTGACCCAGACCCAGGTAAGGTGAATGACCCTGTTTCAAAATAATTGATTTTATATTTTTTCCTTCATTTCAGTGAGGTCTCTATTTATTCAGACACAGGACACTCCAAATCCCAACAGCTTAAAGTTTATTCCAGGAAAACCAGTCCTGGAGTCCAGAACGATGGAATTCCTGTCTCCTGCTTCCACCTACTGCTCTCCATTAGCAAGGTTTGGGGGAGGGGCGGTTGTACACAGTGTGATGTTATTTGGGAATATGTCCCCCCCTCTCTTAGATCTCTGATTAGGACTACCACTGGAGGCACCAAAAATGGAAGATATTTTAGCCCATGTAATCTATTCTTGTAAAGGGGTGGAAATCAGAGAAGGGAGAACTGTCCTCTCTCGGTTTTCAGTTTGCTTTTAAGAAATCGATTGTGATTTAACATAAATCTCATTGATATCCAAGAGGAGAAAGTGCAGCTTGATTCTCTTTGAAATCTTTGGGGATCGGCGAATTATTTGTTTGATTTTTAGTTGATATTTATGCTCAGGCTTTTTTCACATGACTGAGGATCATACAAATGAGTTTTCCCTCAGAGGAAAAAAAATAACCTCCTAAGGGATGTGTGGTTGAGCCAGAGGGGGCCAGGGAGGGGATGCCATGCCATGCAGCTGCAGTCTTAATATGTACTTTCTCCTTGTATGCAATTATCACAGTCCTGGATGCAAAGGCCATTTGCATAATTATCAGGCTTGTGGAAGGCTTATGAATCAGTCTTCCAAATTAGCCCACAGTTGGCATGCTCAGCTCTTCATACTTAGGAATATGCTAGTTGCTTATCAAAGATTTAGGGCCTCGACCATAAGTCCCATCTCTATTTACAAAGTTTTATTTTAGCTTAGAAGTCATTGCTGCTAGCACAGGTTCTGGATTAACTATAAAGCAGAAAGAGTTGATTGGCGGTGGTGTTTTTAAAACTCCGTCTGTGTTTTTTGGAAAGACAATGCTAACAAATTTGAAGCAGTTAGGATTTAGGATAACAGCGTTCTAGAAACTGCAGTCATGAAGCACAAATGTGCACGTGTGAGCCAATAGGAAGAAATGGCAGGATTTCAATGAGCACTTTGAATGGTGAACATTGTTTTTCAAAGTCTTCCTTTTTTCTCCCTGGTTAGGCAGCTCTTTCGGATTGAAGGCGTTAAAAGCGTATTTTTCGGAACAGACTTCATTACTGTCACAAAGGTAAATATAAAAATACCACACACGCCTGATAGTCTAAATTACTAGTTATATAATGGACTTTTCAATATGCTGCAGAATTAGAAGACAGAGATGGCTTACATCAATTGAACAACATTTGGAATTCTGCACTGTTGATTTATGTGTCACGTTTCAATTCAAAAAGAGGATTCTTTTCAGTAGTGAAATGTGTTGGGAATTTTTAATAATTTCTATATAAATTAAAACAGTAGGAAAACACTTCTGAAAGTGCGTTTCCCGTAAAATAAAAATATATTTCCTATAAAATTGAAATATAAAATAAAAGACAGAGCCAGTTATGGTGCTTTGTCCTACTGCAGGTTTGCCTAAGTCCAAGGCCTGACTTTTTTCTGCGTTGGTCTGCTGGCATGAATTGAAAGCAGATACAAATAGATTGTGTAACATTTGGTAAATTTTCTCTCTCTCTCTCTCTCTCTCTCTCTCCCTCCCTCCCTCCCTCCCTCCCTCCTTCCTTCCCCTCTCCTCTCCTCTCTTTTCTCTCTTCCCTACCAATTGAGATTGTATTGCCTATTAGGTCCATTTGTAAGTGTTTGAATACTCAAAAGATCAGTTTGCATGTTTTTCTGTTGAATTGATTGACATTAGTCTGACATGTATCAGACCGAGATGAGCAGAGCCACTTGAGATCTAAGAGTGATACGTAATCTTCCCTTTTGGGGGGTTTGCTCAAACCAGCTCCTGACATAATTGATGAAAAGTAGCAGTGTCCTTTTGACTATTAAATGGGTAGGCCCCATTTACAAATCATACTTGACAACTGCAGAACCTCTGTGTGCCTAAAGACAACTTCCTGGAGAGTTTGGCCTGCTGGTAAGAGTCCCAGAAGTTGATGTGAGGATGGTGTATCCAGAAATAGGAATCCAGTAAAGTTTTTTCTTATATTTATGGTCTGTTTTTTTTCTTTCTTCGTAGGAAAGTGAGGACGTGGACTGGAACTTAATAAAGCCCGATATCTATGCAACTATTATGGACTTCTATGCTTCGGGCTTGCCCATTGTTACAGAAGAGGTTCCTCGTACAGACACAGGTACAGTGACAGATCCAGATGCTGGCATCACCTCCTTTGGCTTCTGCCAGAGCGAGGCTTCCACTGCTCCCCCTCCATCCTGCAAAGGTGGGCTCCCTGGTAGAGATATATACGGTGGCATATGTTGAAGGGCCAGGGCAACACTGCAGTCAAAGGCCCCCCTTCCCCTTGGTGTAAAGAAAGGCCAGGGTCTCTTGTCAACATTGTCTGCCATCTTGCAGATTTTTCAACCACAACCTAGAACTCGAGGAATTTCCTGGTACAACAATGAATCAGTGGAACAGCTTCTCTCCAGAGATTGTAGGTGCTCCGACATTGGAGGCTTTTTAAAAAAAATTGTTTATTTTAATTGAACAAAAACACAAAGAAAGAATCATCCTTCATTACATCTTGTAGAAAGCGTGTCGATTGGTTACAGATAACTTTNGTATATTCCCTTGATGTCTCCTTTTTGAAGGGAAAGGGGGGAACACACTTTCTACCATTCTCCCACGCTGTGTTGCTGCATTTATTTGATAAGGAAGTAGCATGACCTGAATCGTGGAAAATAACAGTTCTCCAATTTTGTTGAGACTATAAAAGACACTAAAGCTCTCAATGTTTTGGATAAGTGACGTTGAAGTTTGGATTTTCTACCTTCCTTCCTCTGCTCTGCCGGGAAAAGTTGCACTTTTTAGAATACGATCCGATTTAATAGGAGAATAAAATGTTTCTTTCGATCACGAGTATTAAAAGAATGAGAGCAGAAACTGGGGGAAGGGATACAAGATCATTTAGATCAGGGGTGTCCAAACTTGGGAACTTTAAGACTTGTGGACTTCAACTCCCAGAATTCCCCATCCAATTCTAGGTGTTGAAGTCCGCAAGTCTTAAAAGTTCCCAAGTTTGGACACCCCTGATTTAGAAGCTAAAACAAAATATCTCCTAAAGCAGTGCCCACCCCCCAGCCTTTCTGGCTTTGTGGACTGGGGGGGGGGACGGACAGGGGGAGAGAGGAAATGGTTCTGTGCCGGCAACAGGCACACACACTCCCAGCTCTATTTCTGTTTCGTGCCCACCGCTCACACAAATGGAGCTTCACACGTGTGTTTGTTTGAGTGCCCACCATTTGCACAAATAGAGCTGGGTGCTTGAATTGCGTGCCTGCTGCTTGCCCAGCCTGGTTCCGAATGAGCTGCAGCCTCAGGGGTTTGGGGACCCCTGTCCTAAAGGGGACAGTTTTTAATTCAGTCTTCCCAAGATTCTCATTTTGGCTGCGGGACTCTGCGTCTTTTGATGCCTTCTCTTTAAACAGAGCCACAAGATATTGTGGTTTGTCTTTCTAGGAAATGGATGCTGGATATGATTTTGGGATGAATTAAAGCATCTCATCTGGCATTACCTGTTGACACATTCCTGTGCTGTAAAAAAACAGGAGGTTGGTTGTAGGTTGGGCCAACATCACGATGGGGCTCACAATAGCTCTTGGCCAGGACTTCCCTCCTTGTGCACCTACCTCATGTCTTAAGCAGGTGCTGGAGTGTTGTTGTTGTTTTCTGGTTGTTGTTTGCTTTATTTTTAAATCCAGTTTTTTTTTCTGCAGAATTTGCAGTATCCGTTAGAATTTAAACAGAAATTTGATGGTTCAGAAATTTGGATCTCTTTTGGAAGAAGGGAAGGTAATTCCCAAAGCATGGATGCAAACTTTTGCACCTCTGCTTCTGAAAACTGAATAAGCACTGCCCTGCTTATTTGTCGTCTCCAATTAAGTTAAATATTATTTGGTGTGGTTTGAGAGGGTGCCCAACACATTGGGAAGGTCCAACCTTCAGAAGCCACATTGCTCTTAGGAATATTCCCCATGCCCTACAGAGAAAGGTATAATTTTATGCCAGAATATCCATCGTGAAAAAATTAGGAAATGCAAAGAGGTAATCTATGTAAGATGACACCATGGGATGATCACAATCTTTCCCACCTGGTGTTTTCCAGATGTTTTGGTCTTTTGGCCAGGCTAGGAGGTTGAATGAATATGGACTGCATCTGGAAGGGGTTTATTTGAGGAAATCACTTGTGATCTGTGTTCAATTGTGGACAAATGTCCAGTTTTGAATTTTCCCTTGTCCCTGGGTTTCATCAGGTATCTATACAAATTTAGCCACCTGATTATGGTTCTTGAAGACAATGGGAATTTTTTTTTTCATTTTACATGGGTGACCAATAGACCCTCCAGAATCTGATTCTGGTGTTTACATCACTGTTACAATCAGTTAACTCAGTTGCTACTAGTTTTAGTTGGGTGCTTTGAAAATCATTGCAGAAATCACTCCCCGAAGAAAATACTTTTGAATGGGCTGGTATTCTTAATATTAATATTATTATTGTAGTAGTAGTAATAGTTTAAAAGTTCTACGAAGGTTCTCGTGGGACAGATGGTACTTGAATAGCAGTTCAGAGTTCTCACGCACGGTGGCTTAACACAACTTAAAGCTGCCATAGTTGTGAAACACAGCTGTAGAATACAGAATCCAAAACTCTGCAATCTTCCAGCTTACTGAATTAGTCCTTTGGGTGCAGGTATTCCTCTGTTCAGATCAGTGTGTGAGAACACAGCACATGTAGACCTTAACAGATTTCTTGTATTTATTTCGCATTTTTAAGCATTCCCTTCCTATCAGCCCCCGTCTGTCTTAATCTTGATGGGGATGGAAAGAGGTAATCTTAACTTAAAAAGGAGCAACCTCAAACTCTCTACTTCCAATTCCAGGAGAATACGAATATGAGCCAAATAATGCAATGTTGAAAAATGCAATATTCTTCTCCTGTATTGATATAGTAATCCCTCTGGGCTTGGTGTTTGTATGCATGTGTGGGCTACTATCTCTTACTGTTTATTTTGGGAGATTTGAATTCATTGCTGCATAATATTGATGAACAAGGAGGTCGTCTAAATTTTGGAGAATATTCTGCTAACTGTTCCTGAAATTTAGAGTTCCAGTAGGACTCTTGAAAGACTCGTGCGAGGCCCGTCATTCCTGGTGGAGACACATGGACAGAAGGTGGTGAAAATCTGACATGTGTCCAGCCTTTTGGTCAGGTGCAAAATATTAAACACTGGGAAACGTTTCACCTCTTTTGTATTTTTTTTAAACAGCAGCTGAAGGTTGTGGCAAGGAAAGGTGGCTGTGGTTTGGGAATACAAGTGAAGTAGATGTACAAGCACACGTACCACACTACGTTGCCTCCACACACACACAAACCACCGTTCCTTTTGGAGCAGGGGTCTCCAACCTTGGCAACTTTAAGCCTGGTGGATGTCAATTCCCAGAATTCCCCAGCCAACTTTGCTAGGAAGCAGCTTTGCTGGCTAGGGATTTCAGGGAGTTGACGTCTGCCAGGCTTAAAGTTGCCAAGTTTGGAGACCCCAATTTTGGAATAGTCTTCCTTTTGTACCAAGAAGACCAGAGAAGTTGCATTGCGGAAATGGGTTGACAGGCAGGATCTTGGCCCGCAAAGCAGGATTGGCACCTTTCACCTCCCTGCACACCACATTTAAATTTAAATTCTTTTAAAATTTTGGCTTGCCCATCGGTTCTTCTAAGAGGAGCTGACCTACGGGGCTAACCAGTTGGGTCTTGAGCCATGTGGCAAAACAGGGAAGGCTTGGGCACGGCCCCTTCCTTTTTGTTCCCCCATTAGAACAGGGTCTCCCAACTTGGAGGACTTGTGGACTTCAACTCCCAGAATTCCTCAGCCAGTCCACAAGTCTTCAAAGTTGACAAGTTTGGAGCAGCTGCACTAGAAGAACTCCGTCCCAGAAGATTTGACTGGCAAGGGCTTCCTCTAATCTTTCACAGGAACTGGAAGGGTCTTTTGGGAAAGCCAGTTGAATTTGGATAGTGGGGAACGATGGAGGCTTTTGAAAGAATCTGACTTCCGGAGGACCAATAGCGATCAGCAAACGTTGGGATGACAATCAGTGGCGATACCTAGGAACTCATTTCCTTTTGTAATGTAAGCATTTTGTATTCTCTGAAGCGCTCAAACAAAATAAAAGTTGAAGACGTTGACAAAAGCTCACACCAAGGGTTTGGTCTGCTTATTTTCCTACTGCCTAGGGCTACATTACTAGACCTTGTAACATCTGCAGATGGAATAATCAGAGGGTACTACTATCCATATTGTGTTACTCTGCGAGCCTGATGGCTGCCTGCTTTGCTCTATGGAGGATCTACTGTCGGACTCTTCCTTCAAGCTCTACAATTGGAACAGTGGTGCAGGGACGTATTGTGAGACCCCCTTTGATGCAGAAAGTGGATATGGTCATAATACAGTCATGGAAATATCTCTCCAGCTAAACAAAATGAGTGATTGCAGTGAAGAAGCAACCCATTCATAGAAGACATAGAATCACAGATTAACAGAGTTGGAAAGGATCTTGTAGGTCATTTACTCCAAACCCATCCACCCACCCAAGCAGGAGACCCTACATGTGGGGGTCTGCAAATTGACCCATTTCCCACAGAAAAGAAAACACCGGGAACCACAAAACCTGGGTTGGTGTGGCTAACTTGACATCACTCACTCCCACCCAGTCACATGACCACCACCTCCCAGCCAGTCATTAGGGCAGAGAACCGGGTCTGGGAGGTGAGGTGGAGGGGCGGGACCAGCCAGTGGTGGGGTCACCTGACAGGGAGCCACAGCAGAGGGACAAAAGAGCCACATGCAACTCCAGAGCTTCCAGCTTCTGACACCTGCCCTACACCATTTATGACCAATGGCAATCCAGTCTCTTCTTGAAAGCCTCCAGGGATGAAGCTCCCACAACTTCCGAAGGAAACTTTTGTTCCATGGGTTGATTGTTCCCACTGTCAGAAAATTCCTCATTATTTCCAGGTTGAATCTCTCCTTGCTCAGTTTCCACCCATGATTCCTTGCCTGGCCTTCGAGGGCTTTAGAAGATGGTTTGACCCCTTATCTTAGAATCTTTGGGCTGGAAGGGACCTCGGTGGTCTTCTAGTTCAACCCCCTCCTCAATCTGCAGATCCTATTCCATCTCAGACAAGTGACTGTCCAGGAATTCTGGAAGTTGAAGTTCACAGATCGTAAAAGGGCCAGAGTTCCCCACCCCCTGCCCTAGGATGTCCAAGAGCTGGGCTCCCACGAGATGTATGCCTCTTAGATTGGAGCAGGAGTGCGCAGGTTCCTTGACTGATGCGATGGGAAATGCGCATCTGTGAAGGGTCGAGAGATAAGTTCTTTTGGGGCCTCCAGGATGTCCTCTGACACACTGCCCTCACCATAAAAACCCTGGAGATGTTTCTTCCTCGTTTTGCTGAGTTCTTTTAATTCCGTTTTTTATTCCCTTTATTTATGGAAGAGGCAATTTATGTGGACTTACCCATCATTTTAAGCCAGTGAGTCTCAATCTATGCAACTATTAAGATGCATGGACCTCAATTCCCAGAATTCCCCAGCCAATATGCTAGCTGAGGAATTCTGGGAGCTGAAGTCCAGATACTTTCAAAGGGCCAAGTTTGGGCAATGCTGGTTTAAGGGATCGCAGTGGGACTGCAATCTTCACTCTCCCTTCCTGATGGGCAATGGACGAAAGCCTCGGATAAAAAATAAAGTCAAACCAGCCCTAATTTTCATTGTTTCATATCGAAACTGCCACATTTATAATTTCCGTGTTTGATCTGTATATGGATGTTACAATAGGATTTTTTTTTTTAATTCTAGGAGTTTGCTGCCCAGATTCACTATTTGACATCCTGGGGGTTGGGGCTTAAATGATTGATTCCATAAATAAATATGGCCAAATCAGAACTATTTTTATTAGGGATTACAAAAAGAATGTAGCAAAGGTGGATTATATTTAATATTGCAAGACTGGTCTTCGCACAAAACTGGAAAAACAAAGAAATTCCCCTGGAACAAGAAATAATAAGTAAGATTCTGACATGCGCAGAAATGGACAGGCTGACTCGAGCTCAAGGACAAAGGTGAGACGAAATACCATGAAATCTGGGACAAATTGTACCGATGGTTAGAAACAAGGGGGAAAAGTAGGGACAGAGAAACATGGATAAGTTCGAAACTGGAAAATATGGTATTAATATTGTACAAAGGTAGGAATTGGATATCCATATGTACTGAGTGTAACAATATTATGTAAGGGATTACTGTGTAGGTAATTTGACCATACATACCTATGTAACGGATATAAACTCTTATTGTTGTAAGATCAAAAAACTCTTATGGAAATGACTATGCCAAAAATGTCACACTATGTCCGTTTTTAATGTTTATCTAATAAAAACCTTTTTTTAAAAAAAAGTAAATTTGGCCAAATGAGATGTCTGGAGATTCTCAGTCATCCCAGTCACAGTTATCCCAAAGGTGTTTTTTTTTCAAGAGGCAACTGGGCTTTCTGGTTTTTCTCTGAAGACGTTTTGCTTCTCATCCCAGTAGCTTCTTCAGCTTCTCCACCATCCAGTCAGAGCTGAGGATGCTTCCTGGAGGAAAAGCGAAACATCTTCAAAAAAACCCCAAAAAGTTCAACTTGCCTCTTGAAAAAAAAACACATTTGGGGGTGGCCAAATTAGGCGAAGCCAGCTGCAGGGTTAGAGCCGTGTGAACCTCTCCTGCCCAAAGGGAAAAAGGAGGAATGAATCTCAGGAGCA